TTAGACCCCCCAAATACCCTATAAGTATATATAGACCCCCAAAACACCCACCCCCAAAATACCCAATAAGTATACTTCGACCCCCCCTAAATACCCAATAAGTCTATACTATAATGATACTTGGACCCTTGGGCTTGGTGTCCAACGAAGCGCAGAAGGTGGTGGCCAGCATACCCGTGAGCCTGCGCCAGCAGGTGCTCTGTGCCTTGGGCGCGGTGCCTGCCGACAGTGGCAAAGTCATCCACGATGTGGGGGTTTCCGAAAATAGGGGACCCTAATTAATATGGTACCCTAAATATATCCTTGTTATAAGGACGCCAAAATAAGGTACCCGTAATTTTCGGAAACTCCCATGTCGTGGAGTCCGTGGAGGTCACAAAGAAAACCTCTGTGAAAATCCGAAGGGCCTGGCAGATGTTGGCGCTGTGCACTGCAGCTGACCTTGACGCGGCCCGGCCGTTGACGCATGCCCTGGGAACCCAGAGAACCCAATACCCTTTGATTAGGGAATATACGAATATACCTTACATCTTAACATCATGGCCTCTATAAGTTAAGGTATATTCCTTAATTAAGGGGTATTAGGATCTCTGGGAACGCAGACGGCCGCAGCAGCGCCGGCCGCTGCTGAGCAACTTGAAGATGATGCAGAGCCCCCGCAAGGCCTTGTGCTTGACTGATTTCTGCATGGGAACCTAGGACCAACTACCAATTGGCAACTGCGGAATGGAAGAATGCAAGCCTAGTCGAGACGAGCCTGCTAGGAACGAGGTGTTGTTTCACGGGTTCCTTTCGGGGCCGAACTAGGTCTTTGGGTGTTGTCGGGATCTAGGTGTGATTGCCCTGCTCGAGGAACTGCTGCCAGATGGGCTGTGATATTGTGGGGATACCTTGTGGTGCCGCTACTCCTAAGCCCTTGCTGACAGCCATACTTGCTGAACGAGTCTGCTGAATAGGCCGTTAATGAGTCGTCCGAACCAGTATTGCTGCACACCTTGCCAGGAACGGCTAAGCCCCCAAAGCCCCTAGACCCGAAACACCAAAAGCCTCAAAGCCTAAAGCCCTCGAACCTAAAGGCTCCGACAACCTACTTGGAGGTTCATGGGTAGTTATAAGTGGGGTTATGCGTCCCCCAAAACGGGTTATAACTATAGTTACCGTACCTATAACCCCACTTATAACCACCCATGAACCCCAAGTAGACCCTAAACCCTATACCCTTTATAGATTCCCTATAGATCCCTTCAAAGGGATCCGTAAAGGAACCCTTATGACCACCCATGAAGCTCCAAGTAACCCCCGAAAGCTCTGAACCCCTATAATCCAGGGGTAAAAGGAGGGACCCTTAATAAGGACCCCTAGGTATATACTCTTAATATAGCCGGTATATAGCCTATTATAGGGTATGGGTCCCCATTAAGGGTCCCTCCTTTTCCCCTTTGATACAAGACTCGGATCTCCACCACTTCGAGGTTCATGGGCTCTATGAGTGGGCCTAGTAACTATAATTCATGTAGGGGCCTTACAAATTACTTCGACTATCCTGGTGGTTCCTCATTATACTTATAGTATAATGGGCCCCAAAACACTGTTCTAATTATTCAGGCCCCCGTATTACCTCATTGTTTAACCCCATTTCCAAGAGCCTCCAAGTACCCAGAGAACCCAATACCCCTTACTTAAGGAATACCTGAAACCATAATATTAAGGCCTCTATCATGTAAGGTATATTCCTTAATTTTTGGGTATTGGGTCCTCTGGGTACTTCTGAGGCTTCTTCGACCCGCTGGGGTTCAGCACAAGCGGACTGATGACCTTCCCAGGTAGGAGTCTTTGTTGGGCCTTTTTAGGGTTTAGGGTTCTGGGTTTAGGGTATTTTGGCACAATCTAGTCCGTGCTCAAAAAAGGGTATTTTGGCACAAGCCTGTGCAAAACAGTATTTTGGCCTGGGTCCAACAGGGTGTTTTGTAGTTCTAGGGCTTAGGGCTTTTACGGTCTAGGGTTTGAGGTTTTGTGTAGGGCTTTCATGGGGTTTAGGGTTTCTGTCGGGGCTTTAAACAAGGTTTGGGGTTTTGGGCTCTTGTCGGGCTTTAAGCAAAGAAGTGTTAGAGGCAGGTCTGGGGTCTGGATTTAATAATAGGGTCTTACAAGAGGTTGCAGGGTTTTGAGAGCTTCATTAGGGTTTTGAAAAAATATAGACTGTATTGAGGAAGTCATGCTTCAAAGCATAGCTTTACTGGAGCTATATGCTACCTGCCTGGATTTGCGGCAGGTCATGTCGAGTGTTGCTTGTTTTACATCGCTCGTGAGAGGTGTTCCATGCCCTGTGACGCTGCGATAGCAAAGCCCTGAGGTGATTCCACGGGCTTCAAACACCTCCGAGCTGCGGAGATCAAGCAGAGACCTCAGTCTCATGCATCGCGCATCATGATTTTCAATTCCCCAGGGATCCGATGACATGTAACTACATGCCCGCTTGGGGAGCATGGGTATGGTACTGGGTATTGCGTACTACAGTAACTGAGGGGCTGGCAGTTTTGCGGGCCCATGGGGGTTTCTGCGTATTCCCAAGGCACGGCCGATTTGCTATGATGGCTGCGACGGGGTCCTTGTTTGCGTCGTTTGTGAAGCTCCCGGGATTTGAAGATGTGCCAAGCGGATTGGCGGCCTTGAACACGACGAAGGGCATGGAAGGCTTCTCTCTCCTTTTCTTCTTGATCGCGGGCCACGAGGCAGAGACACCGTCAACTTGAAAGCCTATCACTCTATCACCCTAAGCCCCTCAACCTAAACACCCCTAATCCGAAACCCTAAACCCTTAATCCGAAACCCTAAACCAAAAACCCGAAACCCTTAATTTACACCCCTAATCCGAAAGCTCAAACCCCAAATTTCAGGCCGTGACGTGGAAGCCCGTGAAGGAGCCGGGAAGCTTTGGCGATCCCTTCAAGTGGAACCAGTTCACCTCCGAGATGCGCACGAAGGAGCTGAACAATGGGCGTATCGCTATGTCCCTTGGCCGCATTTTCCGAAGAACGGCTGGTAATAATTACTGTAAGGGCCTCCATAGTTGCAACATGGTTTGGGCGTATCGCTATGTCATTTGGACAAGAAGATGGCTGAGGGTTTGGGGTTTAAGATTTCTTGGATGGGCCTTAATTGGCAAATTTTATATTTCGCTCTTTATGGCTTATAGACTTGCCTTTGGTTAGTAGGGAATGGAGGAATGGGGTACAATTATGACTACTATTACTACCATTCTTTCATTCCCTACTAACCAAAGGTAAGTATAGGTCTTCGAGGACCTTCGGGCTTTGTAGAAAAGGAGCTCAAAAACAAGGTAAGTATAGGGAATATCGGGACCTGACCTAGCACGGGATTCCTCAGGTTTTCGAGGTTGAGGCGCATATGGGAGTTTCCGAAAATTAGGGGTACACCTTACTTTGGGGTCCTTATAATAAGGATCCTACTAGTTAGGGAACTATATTAGGGTCCCCTATTTTCGAAAACCCCCATATAAGATCTGTGATGTGGCTTTGAAACCTTGGGGATCTTACCACCCTGTACTTGCGTACGGTTTAGGGTTTAGGGTTTGGAGTGTTTGCTGCAATCCAAGCCCATCCTGAAAAGGGTTTATAGGGTTTGGGGCGTGGATCATATGTCTTGGGGTTTCGAAGAGCTTTGCCAGAACGTTACAAGTGGACTTTGAACTCGGAACCTGTAAACCCTAAGCCCTATACTAAACCCACTCGGTGCTCGGAGGGCTGAGCTGAGACTGACCCAGCCCCACCCCAAGACCCTCTTCTGTAGCCCAAATACTCACTATTCAGGATCAAAAGCGCTCTATGCTCGACACCTTGTGGATATGTTCATGTAACCCTAAACCCCCAAAGTAGGTTTTGGTAGTTAAAGGTATATAAGCCCTAGACCCTAAACCCCAAAGGTCGCTTAGAAAAAGGTACTTGGAGGTTCAATGGTTGTTATATGTGGGGTTGTAAGTCCAGTAATATGGGTTATAACTATAGTTACCCTACTTATAACCCCACTTATAACTCCCCATGAACCTCCAAGTAGACCCTAAACCCTATACCCTTATGGATTCCCTATAGATCCCTTTAAAGGGAGCCTTAAAGGAGCCCTTATAAGTCCCCATGAACAGCAAGGTTCGCTATCATCGGACAAATTGCCGCCGAGCTCCAGACCGGGAAGGGCCCTGTCGAGCAGTTCACGGGCTGAGTCCGAGCGGCCTTTTTCCCAGGGCCTTTACGGGTTTGTTAAAGGTTTAAGTTCAATAGGGATCTATAGTAAACAACATGGTTTCTCTAAGTTTCTGTACTGTGGCAACATATGGCAACCCAGCCTCTCTCCCTCTCTCTCTGTCTTTCTCACTCTTTCTAGAAGCCAGGAAGCTTGGTCCTGTCTGACAATTTTAATGATCGCCTTTGCCCCCTTGGCCACAGCAGCATCTGCTTGCAGGATGGCAGTATATAAATGCCAGCATGCGAAGTAGGAAAGGTCCCCAATCCCCGGACCGGAGGGGAGATGAGACGCATGATCCTGGATTTCATATGTTCGTTTCGACCTCCGATCCTCCAAGTGATGCTTCTGGGTTCTCCAGCAGAGGCTTTTTGACGAGTAAACCGCGCGAGCGCGGAGAACAAAAGCGCGGGCGCTAGAGAGCGAGAGAGAGTCGGTGTGTGTGGAATCTCAGACGGAGAGACAGCCGAAATGTCAGGGCCTTGAGGCAGACCCAGTATTTCTTAAATCCGTCTGTATCCTGCTGAGACCCCGGACTTCCCCAAGAAACCCCTTGAAATACTTTCATGCCCCTTGAGCCGGTGGGAACGGACCCGCACCCGAAGCTCCGAGCCCAGAATCCGCAGCCCGCTGTGAAAACCCGAGGACACAACACCTGGAAACCACCCGAAAACCCTCAACCCGAATCGCCTGTAAAGCCCGCACTAAACCCCCAAAGCCCAAACCCTAAACTCAAACCGCAGGTCCTGAACTCCGAGGGGGAGATCAGACATCTGCAACCCGGCCGTGGTTCTGCAAGCCTTGATGTGGGTAATCAGTCATGTTTTCGTGGTTCTTTAAAGGGGTCTATGAAGCTTTCTATAGGGTTTCTATGAGGTTGATGAGGGTACTCTAAGGGTAGTTCTCTAAGTTTTTACCAGGGTCCCTTCTAGATCCCAACAATAGTACGGCGCGCTTATGAACATCTAAAAGGGCCCAAATTTGCAGAGCTACCGGTGTGAGCCACAGCTTCGGTTTCGAGTTCTGGGCTTGGGGTTCATGGTTTAGGGTCCGGGGTTTATGGTCCACGGTTTGCCTTTAGTCTCCAGCGTAGCTACTTGTCTTGGGGCACCCTATAGGATCTTACGTATAAGATGGCTAGACCATCATTGGAGACTATAGGTACACTGTTTAATGTAGGAACCTGATGAAGAAACCTTGGGCCTTTGTTTAGGTACCCTTATATGAATCCTACTACTATTTGGGGGTTATAGGCCCAGGGTTTCTTAATCAGGTCCCTAAACCCCAGACCAGGTTCCTACATTACACGGCTGAAGGCGTAGGGCCTGTAGTGTCTAAGGTTCTTCTGATATGGGGCTTTCCGAAAATTAGGGTATCTTATTTGGGGGTCCCTATAATAAGGATCCTACTATGCAGGATACTATGTTAGGGGCCCCTATTTTCGGAAACTCCCATATGTGGTGGCTTTCTGGATTATGGCTGAGGGTTAGGGGTTGTTCAGGCGATGCACAAGTCCTGATGCAAAAAAGTGTTTAGGCGGCTTTTGCGGCTTTTGCAGAGAGTCGTGGCCCTATGCCCCAAATCTGAGACTTCTCAAGTCCAGGATTTTCGAAGGGGCTTCATGTCCCTTCTCGCTCCAACTGGCGGAACTGATTCAAAGCCACCTTCAAAGACTCGGAGGGAACATACCTGCAAGGATACGACTCCCAGTCGTCCTCGTAGTAGAGTAGGTAACCTTTAAACTTTTTGGGCGAAGCTCGTCTCACGCCTTTCGCTGGGGACGCAGCTTATTCCACGTCGCGGTTTAAACTTTTTGGGGTAGTATAGCCCCTATATAGTCCCCTATATTATATAACCAAAAAGGCTGAGGCGATCAGCTGTCATATTCAGACCTCTTCTCTGCATGGGTCTTTTAAGATCCAAGCTCTGGGCCCTGAAACCTTGAAAGGTGATGTAGGAACCGGATTAAGAAACCTTGTGCCTTTATGAGGGTTCCTTTCAAGGGGTCTATAAGGGATACTGTAAGGGATCTATAAGGGTACTACATAAAAATAGGATCCTGACTAAGACACCTTGGGCCTTCATTAGGGTTCCTTGTATGAACCCTACTATTTTGGAGATTATTGGCCAAGGGATTCTGAATCAGGCTCCTACAGGAATGAAGCCAGGCCTGTCAGCAACCTATGTTCGCAAGACAAACAGAGACAGACACGAAACAAGCACTGCAACCATGAACTGATAGACACAAACCGCCCAATGATTTTTCAACCGAACTAAATACCAACATAGACGAACTCTTAGCACCCTGAGCACGAAGCCCCAAACCCAAAATAGACATTCCTAAGCTTAAGCCTTAAACCTAAAGAGACATTTCCTAAACCCTCGACCCTTTGCAAGCAAAATGCATAGTAGGTTCTGAACACCGAGGCTCGGCCTACGGGATTTCACGGACTCCTCTTCCCTGTGACTCGGAGACGGAGAAGATAGCCATTCTTTTTTTGAGGATGGTGGCGGCTGTCTTGTCGGGTTGCTGTGACGGTGTCGAGGTTGTTGGAGTTGGTGGTGGTTGTGGTGGTGCCGCTGCTGCTGCTGCTGGTGTTGGTGTTGGCATTGGTGTGGGTTTGCTGTTGGCATAGGTGTTGGTTTGCTGTTGGTGTGCTGTTGGTGGTGGTAGTGTTGGTGTTGGTGTTGGTGTTGGTGTTGGTGTTGGTGTTGGCGTTGGCGTTGGCGTTGGCGTTGGCGTTGGCGTTGGCGTTGGCGTTGGCGTTGGCGTTGGCGTTGGCGTTGGCGTTGGCGTTGGCGTTGGCGTTGGCGTTGTCGTTGTCGTTGTCGTTGTCGTTGTCGTTGTCGTTGTCGTTGTCGTTGTCGTTGTCGTTGTGGTGGTGGTGGTGGTGGTGGTGGTGGTGGTGGTGGTGGTGGTGGTGGTGGTGGTGGTGGTGGTGGTGGTGGTGGTGGTGGTGGTGGTGGTGGTGGTGGTGGTGGTGGTGGTGGTGGTGGTGGTGGTGGTGGTGGTGGTGGTGGTGGTGGTTTGGTGGTTTGGTGGTGGTGGTGGTGGTGGTGGTGGTGGTGGTGGTGGTGGTGGTGGTGGTGGTGGTGGTGGTGGTGGTGGTGGTGGGGGTGGTGGTGGTGGTGGTGGTGGTGGTGGTTTGGTGGTTTGGTGGTTTGGTGGTTTGGTGGTTTGGTGGTTTGGTGGTGGTGGTGGTGGTGGTGGTGGTGGTGGTGGTGGTGGTGGTGGTGGTGTGGTTGGTGGTGTTGTTGCTGCTGCTGTTGTTGTTGGTGGTGGTGTTGTTGTTGCTGCTGCTGGTGATGGTGGTGGCGGTCTTGTTGTTGTTGTTGCTGTTGCTGTTGCTGCTCTGGTGGTGGGGAGGGTGATGGGTCATGAACATGGACACCACGGTTTTTTGCAGAATTAAAGCAATTTGCGACATTTGGCGACCATTCAAATTCAGGGTCATGGTCGTGGCGAAGTGTTTGCTGTTTACTGTGAGCACAGAGCAGACCGTTTTCCTCTCGTAGAGAAGTTGATTCCACAGTGTGGTTAGCGTGGCCGTTACATACAGCAGTGCAGAACAGCTTCTTTAATTCAGGTCAAGGAAAATCCGAAAGTGTGTCGCACTGCCCCAGGCGCCAACCACAACTAAGTTAAACCCTAAACCCTAAACCGCCAGACTCTCGAAGCCGTGCCTGCGTCAGCGAGTGTGCGTGTCGAAACCCTGAACCGGTTGTCGGCTAGATGTCCCAAACTTTGAATACCAGCAGTCACCAGTCCGCCCCTCCACTACTTGGAGGTTCACGGGTAGTTATAAACGGACTTGTAAGTCCCCTAACAAGAGGTACAGCAAGAGTTACCCTTACTTCTACCCAAAGGCTCCGTAGTAGTTCCTTTTGAGGATTACCTTGTAGGATTTTGAATATGAAACCCAAAAAGGAACTACTATGGAGCCACTACTATAGTTACCCTACTATTAACCCGATTAGAACTACCCTTAAACCCTATAGAACCCTATAATCCGTTTCTTATAACCCCACCTATCCCCCCCCCCCCCCGCCGCCCCCAAACTTGAGGTCGGGTGAGCGCGCCACCGACGCCATGGACTCGTCCGGCCCGGTAAGTCCTGCCTCTTGTCAAGGCTTCAGTTCATGTCCCCCCATACCCTGAACCCTAATATAGTATGATATAGTATAATATAGTATAATATAGTATAAAGTGGTAAAATGTAGTATGATATAGTATAATATATAAGCGCTAAAAACTGCAAACCCCTAAACCCTTAAACTCCTAAACCCTGAAAACCCTAAACCGTGATTTTATGCGGGTTCTCGGCGGCTTTCTTCCGGTAATGCATATAAAGGGGCGGGGCCGGGCCCGGGGGGGTTGATAGTACAGTAGAGTTGTAGTATATAAGGCGCCCCATGCTGAAAGCGTATCCTTAAACCGCTAGCGGTACTAATGGCAGTTCTTGCACTGCGAGGCTTGCCAGTTCAAACTGGCGGATGGTAGCCGCTGTGTGTTTGACCAGTGAGTAGTGGCACTGGTAGGTCGTCGAGTCGTCGTCGTAGTAGTAGTAGTAGTAGCAGTACTAGTTCCTAGGTGGAGCAGCAGCAGTTGTAATCAGTAGCAGTCTTCCTGAACCTCCTGGCTTTCCTGTCAGCGAATGCCGAAAACTGCAAACTTCCAGCTCTACAGCCCGAAACCGCGGACCCCCAAGGGCCGAATCGTTTGGCAGGCACGCGTTCTAAAATCGACACTATCACAGATCTACCAGACTCTTGAACCCCCTTGAACCAGACAGTTTGCGCCTTTTTCAACCGGAAGCGTGAGCCCGACTTGTTTCAGTAGCACTGAAAGTCGCCCTGAACCCAAAGCCATGGCAACTGAACTGAACCCTCGGCCCGGAACACAGAAAGCCAAGGTCAGCCCCACTCAAAGCTACGGACTCTATGAAATCATGTCTAGCCCCATGCGCAGCCAGAGTCTTGGCTTTTCTTATTTTTTTGTCGGAGCCGCTGAAGGGTTATTGCGATGAAAGCCAGGTTTCCCAGCTGAGTCTGTGCACAAGACCCCCACATACATGTATTACGTATGCATTCATTTGCATGGATGGATGAATGGATGGAGAGGGATGCATGGATGGATGGAGGTGGAGAGATAGAGGTCCAAATGTGTCTGTGTGTACCCATACACATACATATGCATATGCATATACATACACACACATACACATACACATACAGACATACTTACATACATACATACATACATACATACCTACATACCTACATACCTACATACATACATACATACACATGTGCTTGTGCATAATGTATATATGCAAATATCCCGAACATAGGCGGTGGTATACCTTTGCTGCGGCAGGAACTTTCTTACTCTTTCTTCCACCTTGGGAACTGCCAACGCCAACAACTACCAGAGGTAACACACACACAGCTGCGTTTGGCAGACCCAAACACATGGTTTAGGGCTTGCAGGTAACGCACTTTCCTACACGGGATGAAGATTCGAAGGTCTTACACAGACTACGAATTGCAACGCTATGTGTTTCCTACACCAGTTCTATCCTACAGAGTCTCACCTTCAAGTTGTTGAGTAATCACACAAGCCACCATTAGGATCAATACGGTTCGGCATTGCCTTTATTCGCCCTGAAACTCCGAGTTGAAACCCTATGTTTCCCTGCATTTTCGGCTCGCCAACAAACCTCATGCAGTTCCCCTATGTAGCCTTGGCTCTGGCTTGCGAACTGCTGCGTAGATGCGTGCGCCGTCATTCAGGAACGTCCCCATGTAACATGCGTGATACATGCCGATTCCAAACCTTGAGGCTTGCATTCCGATAAGTGTTGGTCGCGAGTCCTCGCTAGCATCTAGCCCCTGTGCGAAGTGTCTTCTGCAATCCGGCAATATCTGTGGCTCTGACCCTCTACAGTTGTGTTTCGACGTTTGTCACGTGTGTCCATCCCTGCCAAACGGCCGTGATTTGCGCTTGCTTCTGCCATAGCCGTTAAGACCCCTTATGTCGTGCCAATCCCATGCGCTGACGCGTCAACACCTATGTATTCCTCCCTAACCCTTGTTACATTTGTGTGGCTCACCTCGACATGCAGCAGTCTCCCCCTACCCTAAAGTCCACACGGCCCACAACTGTTTGCATGTCGTCCCGCGAACACCCGGGAACCATTGAACTGAAGTGCCCATCAAATGCGTGGGCCTCGAAGTTGTCCATTGAACATCTAATAGTTTGGGCGAAAACCCATAGGCTCCATAGTAGTTCCTTTTTGGGGCTCATATTCAGAATCCTGTAAGGTAATCCTCACAAAGGAACTACGATGAGCCTAAAAAAAAAGCACTTTAAAGGGGGATACGCGTGTCCCAGGACGCTCAGCATCAGCGACCAGGATTGGGCCCAGGGCCGCGAAAGCCAGGTTAGGGGCCTTTGGGCTATTTTGAGCCTTAGGGTCATTTAGATCCTAAACCCTAAAGTTTGTGTGAGTGTGAGCGTCGAAACCCTCATTTTACCCTGCAGTGCGGGCTTCGTCCTTGCTAGGTAGCAGGGAAAAACCCTCACTTTGCCGGCGAGGAGTGGGGGACTACTCACAGCCAGAGGCAGGCCTTCCTGGAGGTCGACATGGAAGTCAAGGCTCGGGGATATAGGGTTCAAGGTGTAGAGTTTAAGATTGTGTGCTTCTTTGGTGCCAAGCCGTATTGAAACTGGCCCTCAACCCTGAAGAGCCCGTCGTTCAGGCTGTCGACTGTTAGCACCGATGTCCAAAGACTCGATAACAAGTTCGCTAAACATCGATTAGATAAGATGTTATGGTGTCGAGCTCCTACCCTAAGCCCTAAAACCTTACCCTAAACCCGAATTAAACCCTAAACCCTAAACCCTGAACCCTAAACTCTAAATCGGCCTTCTAGAACGGTGGGGCACTCGAGCCCTGCAGCTGCTCTATGTTGCTCACATCAACGCTTCCCGTGAACCCTTAACTCTAAACCTGTTTAGGGACAAAGAGGTATCATGCTTTACAGGATATAGTCGCCTGCCACGCGAGAGGGAAAAAACCCCAAACCCTCAACCTAAGCCCTCAACTCTAAACCCCTGAACCTCTAAACGCCTATATGAGCCCTAAACCTTGAACCCCTTTCAGAGGGAATCCCGACCCATGGGGCCTTGACCTAGGGGAGTTCGGTGTGTGGACACGGGCCTGAGTATTATCTATATTCTTTTGGTGCTCCTTGTCATAAGTCTCGTATAATGGACCCAAAACCCTATTGTAATCAGTAAAGCCTTTAAATAAATAAATCTATATATATATATATATATATATATATATATATATATATATATATATATATATTTGTTTGCTTTTTCAATTGGCGCCCAAAAACCCCGTAATTTGAAGCATGCACCTTAGGTTTTATAGGGCTCCTGAATTGAATTTGAAGTTCTAGAGTTCTTTGGTTTAGGGCCTTAGGGTTGAGGACTGTTCTCGACAGAGAGCCAATCCAGAAAAGCTTATCATATCAAAGGGTAAAAGGAGGAACCCTTAACAAGGGGAGGGTCTATAAGGGATCTATAGGTTTCTAGCGTTTTTGGGTTTGGGTTTATGGCTTTCCGTCCAAGGTAAAAGGAGGGACCCTCAATAAGGACCCCTAGGTATATACCCTTAATATAGCTGCTATATACCCGTTATATATAGCCCATTATAGGGTAGGGGTCCCCATTAAGGGTCCCTCTTTTTCCCCTTTGAGCATAGCTTCAACATGCATTCTTTAATACTCGTTCTTCGAGGGGCCAGGTGGGGGCGCTCTGGGTACTGCCGGGGCTCATGTTCCCCAGGCGAATGGTGCTGTAGGGCGTTTGGTTCCTCGTGGGTCGACTACTTGGAGGTCCTTGGGTGGTTTAGCGGTTCAGGGTTTAGGGTTTCGGGAAGACATGGAGCTCAATGTCCCCTATGATGGGTTGCGACTATAGTTACCCTACCTATGCCCTCATGTATAACTTGTAAGTACCGATGAACCTTCAACTTGGGAGTTTGGCCCCTAAACCCGCAACCCAAAATCCGAAAACTAGAGGATGTACGCACTCTGCTATTCGGGCTTCGTCCTTGCGACGTAGGAAGCAACAAACTACCCAGACCTTCCAAAATCCTTTTCGCAAGGCAGGCAGAGACCGAAGCACCCTCAATAACACCCGAACTAGCACAGGTCGTTCACTGCGCATCCGCTTCTGTGTCCTTTTTGGCGGGATCTTCGCTTGCCGACTTTCGGTTTGCATTGTGGGAGCTTGGAGGTTTCGGGCCTCGGCTTTAGGGTTTTAGGGTTCAGGGCTTAGGCTGTCTCGGGGTTTAGGGTTCAGAGTTTAGGCTTTCTCGGGGTTTAGGGTTCAGAGTTTAGGCTTTTTTGGGGTTTAGGGTTTAGGGTTCAGAGTTTAGGCTTTCTGGGGGTTCAGGGTCTAGGGTAGCAGAGCAGGTCTGCTCTAACTTCTCTTTGGATACTACAGTCCCCGTGTAGCCCATGCAAGGTTTAAGGGCCGTTGGCGTTTTGGTTTGACGGGGGTTGGGATGTGTGCTCTTCGGGATTTGGGCTTGGGGTTTGGGGTTTAGTGTTTAGGGTTAAGAGAGAGAGAGAGAGAGAGAGAGAGAGAGAGAGAGAGAGACAGAGAGAGAGAGAGGGTTAGGGTTCAGGGCACATGAAAGGCTCATCAGTTCTATGTCAGTGATTTCGTTCTGTGCCTGGCCTTGTTCACAGAACAGGTGCGACACATCCAGGCGGGATTCAAACAAGCCTGCGCAAAAAGGGTTGAAGCTTCAGGAAGTGATTTTCAGATGTAAGGTTTGGAACCGAAGGTTTATGGCTGCAGGAATTAAGGTATTTCGCAGTCTTGGGTTGTCGTTGATTTGATATAGAATTTTGAGTAATTAGGAGAAAATTAGTCCTTAGGGTTTCGTTTTTCTAATGGAATTTCCACCCAAACCTGCTCTAATCATTGCGGCATCTATACCTACCTTCGACTTTTTTGATTTGCGGGTTCAGCTGCGATGGGTTATGGGTTGCCTGGATGTGAGAAGGCCGCCTGGTGCGGTGTGTTTTCAGGGACTGTACATTCCTCATCTTGTTTCTGCATACAGTATTGCTGCGGACAGCTGAAACTGGGTTTGGGGGTACCTTCTGCTCATTACGAGGCTTGCTTGGAGGATCATTGGACTTAGTAAGTCAGGTTATAGGTACCTTAATTGGGGTTATAAGTAGTTATAAGTACAGTTACCCTAGTTAAAACCCTAGTTACTAAGTCCCATGATCCTTTAAGTGGATGTGGTTGGAATCGTTATCAATATTGGGAGCATGAGGTCCCCAGCTCGAGTGAGTAGTCCAAGCCATCTGCCCCCCTAAAACCACTGAGCACCCAAACTCTCGTAGGCTACCTAGAGGCGCCACAGTAGTTCTTCTTTGGGGTTCATATTCAGAATCCTATAAGGCAACCCCAAAACGGAACTACTATTGAGTTTATGGGTAAAAGCCATGAACTATTCGCAACAGCCGCCCCCTAGAGACCCTAATCCCGCGCGATTCTGCTCGGCATCCTTGTGAGGACGTTTGTCTCATAGACCTGTGATTCGGGTTGGGGTAGGTCCACGGCTTAAGGCTTGGGGGTGTGCGGCTTACAATCTTTGCTGAGGGGTTCAGGGGCTATGGGTTCATGGTTTGAAGGCTTTTGAGCCGAAGGGCTCCCACGACAAACCCCCGCTGTTTTGACTTTTGACCTAGCGGAATCCAGGGCTTGTAGGTAGTCTTCGTAGGGCCGCTCTAATATTTTTAGGCAAGGTTGGTAGTAGGGCTTCACAGCGCATAGGAAAGGGTTTCGGAACCTTGTCCTCAGCAGACCCTGATCCCTGCAAAGGTTTTCGCCTGCAAACCCTCAGCCCTATGTGCCCCAAGCCCAGGCTATAGCTATAGTCTCCTTAGGAATGATTTTTTGTGTTTGTTCATATAAAACCCAGCAGAATATTGAAAATACTACTTTTATTGTGGTTCTAAGGGATGTATAGATAGTAGCCGAGCCCCATTTATCCGAGGATTTCTTCACCGTGCCGCACACAGTGCAGCTCTTACAGCGTATTTGCGACGAAGCACAACGAGGGCTTGACCAAGAAGGAGCCTTGCCGCAGAAGGCAGGAATCCAGATTGGTTTGGGGGTTACTTGGAGGTTCATGGGTAGTTAAAAATGGAGTTGTAAGTCCACTGAAATGAGAAAAACTATAGCTAATAGCTAACCTACTTATAACCACACCTATAGCTGCCCATGGACCTCCTCCACGTAAGATTTAAGACCCTCGTTAAACGAGGCCCCTACTGTTGAGGAGCCTGGGCTGGCACACAATCCAAGCCCACTCTGGAAAAGGTTTAGGACTTTGATTTCTCAGCTTTGGGTTGGGACTTCATTGAGTTTCCATTTTCACCAGACGTTGGAGCGAGAAAAGGTGACAGAGAGAGAGAAGGAGAGAGCAGACGAGATCCTGCCCACCGGTTGGGCCGTGTGGGCATTTGGTTTTCCAGCTTTACCACTCGTTCCGGGCCAAGACATCCTGCTTGGTCGTGCTGATGGCGCTTCCTCGAGGATGCTCTCTAATCGTAAACATCCAACTTGCAATAATTATACCTGGGTGTAGGATTAGTCTAGTAGCGGATGTAGAATGAAACCCGAAAGCCTGATACAATCACATACTTCCCTAAGCTTAATATGCAAGCGAGTAGATGCTTGCCAGATACTGGAACTCTGAGGGGAACCTGGCCTCCGCTTTCAACGGAATGACTTCAGGCTACAACACCCAAGCCCCCAAACTTGAGAGTTTAGAAAGTTGGCGGCTAACAGCATAAGTCATGAGCTTGAGATGTTAGAAGGCTCTGGGTTTAGGCTTCAGGTTTACATTTTCTATGCTCAAGGAAGCGAGGTCGAAAATCAAAGACCCAAAGACTAAACCCTGAACCCGGTGCCCTTACTGGCAGGCTGGCAGGATCCGACCCAGAATCAATCCGTCGGGCCTAAGAGTGTACTAGAGGGGCCTAAATGATTACGTATACTATTCTGGGGGTTCCTTACTGTAAGTAGACTATAACGGGGCCCCAAACCCTTCTCTAATTATTACGGCCCCTATACTATAGAACCCTACCATAGATCCCTTATAGACCCCTTTAAAGGAACCCTTATTCTAATTATTAAGGCCCGCATGTTTTGACTTGAAGCCCCACAACCGGTACTTAGTTCAACTTCGGAGTCCATCGGCAAGTATTAGCAGCTGCCCCCACCCTGTGCTATAAGAATTATATTAGGGCCCTATTATATTCCTATTATACCACTATTACAGGGTGGGGGCAGCTTCTAAGGCAAGTATGCGTTAGGTTTGTCAGCAGCATTAGATGAGCTGGAGTTTGGCATAAGGGTCTAGTGCTTTAGGGTTTAGGGCTTTAGGGTTTAGGCTAAGTTTAAGGCTTTAGAGCTTTTGGGTTTAAGTATTTGTGAAAGGTTTAGGCGTGGCGGAAAGTTCAGACGGAGCCTTCGACGGGGTCAGAAGTTGTGGTACTTCCAGGCCTGCTCATATGGGAGTTTCCGAAAATTAGGGATACCTTATTTACATAGGCGTCCTTACAATAAGGATCATTCTATTTATTTAGGGTGCTATATTAAGGTCCCCTGTTTTCGGAAATTCCCATATGGGAGTTTCAGAAGACAGTGGATCGTTATATCGAGCCCGAAGTAGTGCGTTTGGGGCCAACTATGAAGGAACGGCTGCCCTGAAGCTTCAAGAAAATCCATGCTCAGTGGTCCCGGGGAGGGGTATCTGTAAGGGCTTCCTAGGGATTTATACGGGGCTCAAAGCCTCAAAGATTATATATATAAAATACTTGAGTTAGGATAGTAGTTTCGAAGCTGGGTATACGCCGGAGTGCGATCATGAATTATAAGCAGACAACATCCAACCAACAAACCTATAAACCCCACACACACCCCGAGAAAGCCACTGGAAGAAGACCGGGTCATGGAAGCCCAAAGGGTCCAATGTACTGTTATGGGGAAGACTTCCCTAAGTCATAGTAGTAATTCCGAATATGGAAACCCCACATTCTACTATATCGGTACATAGGACCCTTGAAGCCTAAATTATAGAAACCCTTAAAGGAAGCCTTAAAGGAACCTTGAATATCGGTGAATATGGACCCTTTGGGAAGGTCTTCAACTACCAAGATCTGCCAGTACGTTGGGGATCAGGCCGAACCTCCTCCCAACCCTAGAAAGGCTTAGGGTTCTTTAGGGTTTAGGGTTTAGGGTTAAGGCTTAGGGTTCTCAAAGGGTTTAGGATTTAGAGTTTAGGGTTAAGGTTAAGGCTTAGGGTTCTCAAAGGGTCAGGGCTTGGGCTTAGGCTTTGAGGGGTTTGTTTGCGGTTTGGGGCTGGGCTTTTGGGGTTGGGTTACAGGTTTCAGGCTTCGTTTTAGGGTTTTTGTTCATGGGTTCTGTGCTGCCATAACGGTCTTGCTTTTGGCATTTTTTATAGCGGTCGGTGGTAGTTTAAGCCATGTTTTGGAGGGTCTATAGGACTCGTCTAGGAAATTCTCCAACGGATTTGGGAGGGATGGTAAGGGTCTATATTCAGCCGTACCTTTAAAGTTGTCAGAGCTCGATGCGGGCTAGAAGGTGCTTTTTAACGCTTCGGGGTTGGGTCTCGAGAGTGAAAAAGAGCCACTCAACAAGTTTACTCTTGATTTTCACTGTTTCGGCACCATATCAGCGCAAGTATATCGGGCAACCAAGTCCTTATCATTCCTAATCCCTAAACGGGGTAGTTCTCTAGATTAGGGTCCCCTTTTCGAAATCCCAAAAGGAGGCGGTACCCGTCTAAAAGGAACCCCCAAGGGACCCTCATTAAGAGAACAACCCAGTCTCCCAGAAGCCAGCAGGAAGCTGGACAGTTTAGGGTTTTTGAGGTTTAGCCCTTAGTCCAACACACCAGTCTGACAACCCCAAAGCCCTACACGCACCTTTCCAAACCTGGCCTGGCCCCTCATGCCGGAAGGCCCTCCAAAAGCCCATGAACCCCCCCCCCCCAAAAAAAAAAAAAAAGAACGGAGTTCTCAAAGCCCAAGCAAAATCTGAAGCCTTAAGCGAGCCTTAGACCCCCTTCTAGGCTCTGCGGGGCACACAATCAGTTGGGTGTCTCAATGTTTTGGACTCTACGGAGTTTAAGCTTTGGGGGCTTCAGGGTTCACCTTTTTATTTGGCTTTAGGGTTGAAGATGTGTGTGCGTGTGTGTGTGTGTGTCTGTGTGTTGTGAGTTTTGGCATCAAGGTTTTCGCCCTAAACCCTAAATTGTTCAGGCTTCAGGGTTCTAGCCCTGAGCACTAGGAGCCCTGGCAGCCAGGCCACTGAACGCTAGATGCTAAACCCTTTGCTTTGTCATCGTACCATTTGTCATCTTTTGGGGTACTTAAGCCCAATAAGGAATAAGAGTGCACATGTTTCATCCCATCCCAACAATGAACTGGTTTAATGGAGCCCCAGAAGTCCTTAATACAGTAGTGGCGATGTAGGGGCACCCCCCAATAGAGCCCCTTATGTCCTCAAAGGGTGGGTATTTCGGGGCACCTCCAGTGGAGCCCTTATAATCCGTTAATAGGGAGTTTCCGAAAATTAGGGGTATCTTATTTTGGGGTCCTTATAATTAGGATCCTACTATTTAAGATTCTACATTAGGGTCCCCTATTTTCGGAAACTCCCAATAGTGGCAGCGTTTTCATGTAAAAACAGAGGGTAGTTGGTAGACCCTGCGCAGGCCACTATGGCAGCATCCACGGCACCTTTCAGGTGGTTCTTTGCCGTTTTGGCCGTATCGGCTGCTCGGCCCTGTCTTATTTGCGAGTTTCGAGAAACAAAGACCCCCTAAACCCCAAACCCTAAACCCTAAAACCCTAAACCCTGAGCTTCCATGTACCCTGCAATGCGGGCTTCGTCCTTGCCAAGTAGGAGGGGAAAAGAGCTTCCATGAACCGCCATCTTGGTCAGTTGACCCAGGCAACCCCTGAAACTTCAGGGTTCATCCTCGCTTTAGCTTATGCTTAGTAGCTGAGTGGATACACTTTACACTTTTAGGGGTAATATTTCCCTATGTAAAACTGCAAGTGTGCACTTTTGGGGGGGCTTTTGAACTCAGGAACTAAGTATGCTTTAGGGCTCCGATGGCCCTCCAGCTTGCAGTCCAGCTGCCAGGAAGCACATGCCCTGAATTCTAAGCCCTCAAGTTTCCTAAAACTCCTTCCAAATGCGCTCCTCTGGGCCTACCGTCCCCCGCCCATCCCCTGCAACAAGTCATGAACATAGAAACTCATTTAATTCAAGCTGTATAGTATGTAGCGAAGCTCATATGAGAAGCCATGGCCCATGGTTCCAGGAGGGTTGAACCCCCGTAAACCCTCAAAGCTTTTCAGCCTAAACCCTTTCCTCGGCAAAATCCCAAAACCCTACAATCTCGACTGCCTTAAGCCTTGTTTTGCTTATTGCCAAAGGAGTTGTGATTTCCTTTGCCGAGCCCAGCCTAACTCGGCACAGCGGACGCCGAGCCTCACGGGAATCAAAGGCTTCGAGCCGGTCGTCTGTGAGCCTTGGCGAAAAGGGATCGCATGCAACCTGGCTGTCGTTTCGGGCCTCCTACATATATGTATGTGTGTATGTTATACCCTAAACCCTAAACCCTAATACTTGTATGGTCGTGGCGTTCGCTGTGCGTTGCTAGATCTTGGTTCGTTTTAGGGGTACAGGCTTCTGAAGTTGTTGATGCGAGCTTCAGAGTCTCGAGATGCCTTTTTATCGGGTTTAGTTGCGGGCTCGTGGTTGAGGGTTTAGGGGGTTTAGGGTTTAGGGGGTTTAGGCTTTAGGGTTTAGGGGGTTTAGGGTTTAGGGGGTTTAGGGTTTAGGGTTACAGGCTCATACATAGTATTTTGGAATGTCTCTATCAAATAGGAGCGAGTTAAAGCTGTGGTTTCTTGCCCTAGTTAGCCGCACTTGTAATGTATTGCAGCCTTCAGCTATGCCAGATATTTGAAGCAGCTCATTTCACAGGTGCCGGCCCCCACTCAGTAACACTTAAATCATATACCGATATATAAGGCCTTTGATTTATGGTAGCCTCATTATCGACTGTTGAGGCAGAATCCTAATTAATTATGAAGCCGCCACAAAGCTGCAACCTGATGGCTAGAGGAATCACAACAGTTGGTGAACGTTTGGGGTCAGTTTTCTGAAATTCGCAACAGCCTGCCCTAGCCACGAAGACATGCTGAACCGCAGGCTTTCTTCCACAACACTCCACCTGTAGAGCATGAGGAGTAATACGTCATAAGTAGAGTGAAAAGATGTTACAAGTATCCCAACTGGGGTTATCCAACGTTTACATTAGACACTCGTGCAGCCATGCAGGAGGCAAGCCAAATTAGGATGAAAGAGCACACCCATCAAAGTCTTCATGGCCCTTTCCACCGGCAGAGAACCCTAAACCTAAAGCACACTAATGCATCCTATCAACAAAAGAATGAAATTCTAAAGGGAGTTTGAAAACACAATGAAAAGCTCGAAGAAGCCCCAAAACGCCGCTGAGGACATCGAAGAAGCCCCGTAAACCTCAACCCTAACCCCGGAATACCGCTAAGGACTTCGAAGAAGCACCGGAACTTCGGCATCCATTCGCAGCCAGCTAGGAGTCTCCAACGACCCACCCTGTCTCGGCTCTGAAGGGGGCCGCGCCAGAGAGGGCCCTTAAAACCGCAAAGGTTGCTGTCGGCTCTAATTTGGGGTTGAGGCTTAGTCAGGGCTGCAATTGGGGTTTCAGGTAGAGTATGGGCTTTTGGCTTTGCTTCAGGTCTGGTTTTTGGTGAAGAGTGGCGTACTTGGAGTTTCGGGCTTAGGTTGGGTCTAGTAAGGATTCCGATAAGGGCTACTGTGGGGATGGGTGTTGTTGCGACATGGAGGAGCTTTGAGGTTTGACGGCAAATTTAGGGTTTAGGGTTTAGGGGTTTAGGGGTTTAGGGGTTTAGGGTTTAGGGGTTTAGGGGTTTAGGGGTTTAGGGTTTAGGGGTTTAGGGTTTAGGGTTTAGGGCTGGGACTATCTTCAGTAGTTTAGAAGCTTTATTGGCATGCTCTGGAATGTTCTTTTCAACAGGGCTCGCTATCAGTGTCATAGGTCTGGGTGCCAGTGGAACACGTTGTGTGTTTTTGAGCTTTGTCGCGTGGTTTTAGCCCAGATGGCTGCTAACTACCATCATATTCATGGACTTATGGGCATTTCTGATCCTTTAAGCAGGGCTTCCGCCTGTTGGGTAGGGTGTTCGGTTTTGGTTCAGTTTTGAAAGGTGTTTTCAGGGCTTTAGGGGCTAGGAGTTTGGGGCTTCAAAGAACGCTTCATGCTTTTTGAATGCATTCTCCGTTTACATTCTACAAATTAGTGCTGCCTTTCGTGGTAGGCGTGCTCGTCTAAGTTGCGACGCACTGGGCCCGTAGCAGTTCCTGCCACCGTCACTTGGAAGTGGTCGGCGAGGTGGCACGTTCCGCGGCTTCTGGCCATTAATATAGGGGCCTAAATGATCGCCTATACTATTTTGGGAGCTCCTTCTTATAATTATAGTATCATATACCCCAAAGCCCTCTTCTAATTGATAAGGCCCCTATAGCATCTCCTTTATCAATGTCCGGCTTTTCCCAGACTCCTCCAACTGCCTCAGGTCGTCACCTTCTTAAGTCTGCACACCGGCTCGTGAGGATGGAGGAAACCCTAAACCCTTAAAGGTCAAAGGTTGTCCATATTCATGTATGTAGCCCTACCCCTTGTGTGTCATACCTTCCCTCCTATACTCCCTATATACCTCCGAGTAAGACCTGCGTTGCCGTGTGACCTTACATGCATGTGGCTCGTCGCTGTCTGTACTTTTATGCATGCCACGTAACGAATTTGCCTGTACTCTATGCATGTCACGACATGAATTTGCGTGCATACTATACCCGTGTTGCACTTTATCTGTACTTTATGCATGTCACGACATGAATTTGAACGCATCATGCCATGAATTTAATGCATGGCAATGCCAGGCCAGAGCACGCAAGACTCAGTGATGCCCTTGTGACCTTTTGTGACTTTATTGGTGCTTATGTTACTGCTGTATCGCAAATCCAGTGCGTGCCTGTATGTACAGCACCTGCATGAAATGTTTACTGCATGAACTGCACCACGCTTTTATTCGATGCAAGCCACGCACCACGAGCACAACGATAGTCACTGTACAGAGCATTGGGAGCATCGACATTTGACTCCTGAGGCCCGTTTCTCGATGACGAGCTTTGTAACATGCATGGGAGCTACGCGAGCTATCTTCAGCACGATGTGCTTCAAATTACCTGCCACGGGCGCAAGGACCCTTGTGAGCATCACAAGCAGGTGAAACCAGTGAGGGTGCGAGTCAGGTGCACACAGCCAGGAACTTTCAAGTACAGACGTAACAGGGACTGGGAGAGCAGAGAGAGAGCAGAGACAGTTGCATGTTGTCAGTTGTGACATGTTTGTTTGCTGTTCCCCACAGTCATGTCTTTTGCAGGCTTCGCCTTACGCCGTGGCCAACACGCTAACAACCCGGGGGTTCTGCCTGCTTGTGTCTGCTCTGCTGCTCTGCTGATCCTGAGGCAGCACTGCATTATTCTATTCCTCACGGCACTCTGGGGACCGCGGCCTATCCACATCCCTCTGCCCTCCTAGACTTGTGCATTTTCACCGCACTACCCCATCCCTGCTACACCCTAACCCTCGGTTCGCGGGAGCCATGGTCGCTGTCTTGGGACGCCGGGGGCCTGACTACTGTGAGGACGTGGGCTCACATAATCTCCTGTATATGGCGGCGACTTTGGTGGCCCCGTTGCAGCTGCAGTGGGTAGACTGACCGTGGAGCAAAACACAGCTACAGTCACGATACTGGTGTATCCTGCCTTACAAGTTGAGAGGACAGCGAGCATACAACTTATCTGCAGGGCAATAGACAGCCACGGAGGAGCTCTGCTTTGCGTGGACCACACTGTGTCTGCTACGTTTAGTACTCTTTGCTGGCTGCTGGACTAGACAGCTGAAACTCCCACGGGATACGAGCGTGCATGGGTTAGTACTCTTTGCTGGCTGCTGGACTAGACAGCTGAACCTCTCGCGGGCTCCGAGCGTGCATGGGGCGCGACCCTCTCCGTTCTACATGGCTGCAAGTGCTGAGATGCTCTTTGGCTCTTTGCAATAGGTACGGAGTGAAGCAGAGGCGTGGTACTCCAGACAACCCGCTTGGGATAGAGTCCTGCACATAGCTGAACAACCACATCAGGACGAGTTGCATGTGTCTGCATAGTCTGCATGGGAGAGCTACATGATCTCGAGGTGACCTTCTGAGGAGAGCTTTTGAAACAGTTAGCGAAATAGGGTAGCTGGTACTGGCTGCCATTCTCGCTGGGCCGCATTTATGGGTGCGCGCTGTCGTCGGCCTAGTGAATAGGCTCGTGTTCAGATTCAGTTCAGATTTTCAGCTTTGGATTCTGTATTTCAACTTGGGTCATTACTTTAAGCTGGGTCTCCGAGGCCAATGGCAGCGTAGCGCCCTGAAGCCGCTCTGCTCCTCTGACCACCCTCATTGTTTGTTGTTACCGTCTTATGTCGTACCTACCCAGATACTTATGTTTCGTATTCGGTGGCTTGGTGACAGAGGGCGGAGCAGATAGTTGAAGTAAAGGTAGCAATGGACCATCAAGCCGTGCCTGCGATTGTGCGAGTGTGCGAGTCGAAACCCTCCCAAAGCAGGTAATGTCTTAGATAGTCAAGGGGGAACTTT